GAGGCACGAGGCCTTTATTTATCAGCTCACGATTACTCCTACGGTGCATACATCCTCAGAGATTCGGCCGACCAGGTATCGTAATTATACAGTTTTCGGTGAATTCCAAAACATGTTGTCTAATTATATGGGGAATAACTAATTTGAATTCTAAAATTTTATTGCATGGGTTTTCCATCGTGATAGGTTTGTTAGTGACTTTCCTATTTTCCGCTTTGCATTCGCTGTTGGGTTTTTGTGGTATTTTTAATTTACCTGGCAGGTATGCATCATCCAGGAGGAGAAAGTTTGGTTTGCTAAACGATGTTGCGAATGAAGTATGTGACGAATATAGTTCATTTATATACGTTTAATAAAGTATGAGGAGTCGAGGAAAGTGAATTAAAACTGGAATTATTTTTGGTTATTGATTATTACTGGTGAATGCTATTTAGTAGAAAAGAGGAATATATTTTGTATTTAAAATTGAAATACTATTTTCTTTTTAAATTCTATTTAAGATTAAATTAGAAATATTGTTTTTTATTTATTGATTAGGGTTAATGCGAATATAGTTTGGTAGAAATAGAAAATATATTTTATAATCAAAGCAAATATCTTAACATTTTTTAGTCCCATTTTAACACTAGAATTATCGAGTTGTAATGTCTATATAAATATGGTGTACATAAAGGATATTAATTAAAGTAATATAGTGAAAATAAATAGGTATAAATAATCATGCTATTATTTGAGGTAATATCAATATTAATTTTGCGAAAAGTAGCTGTATTTTTCAGATAATTTCGAAAATAAAAAATCCGAGACAAGTTATTTTGACATCCTTAGCAGTTCTGGTGTTAAAACTGAATTATAAGTGTTATTTGTTAATTATTGAGTAGAATTTAAAGAGTACACTTCAAGTATAATGTGAAGATTCTAATTTTTGTATTATTAAAATAATTCAAGCTGTTTAAATAATTAAAGCTAAAATAAATTTTAAGTTTAGCTAATTTAAAATTCCTTGTTTATTTATTAGTGTGACTGTACTTTAGTAGATACAAAGAAGTGTGCTTTACATACGATGAACATACTAACATTTTCCATCACCATTTTTTGTAACAGATGGCTGTTGATAAAATCAACTCGATTCACTATGACAGGTGGGACCCTAGATAAAAATTGATCAAATCCCATGCAAATAACTATACGTTAATAGCAACTAATAATCTTGGAATACATACCAAATAAATATTTAAGTGTTACATCATTTTCCATTGAAATTAAATACCAATTATAACTAACATTCTTATACATTTATATTTTATTATTATATAGATAACATTACTACATATTTTTACTATCTCTCCTAATCACGGTTAAAATTTACGTCCAAGGTTGCTGGAAATAGCGAACGATAATAAAAAAAATCGATCAGAGTCGATAAGCTAGTAATATCTCCTTTATCGAGTTAAAGCTCCATTTTTTAAAACAAACACACGATCCTATCCTTAAAGAGAAGAGTAAATCTATTCGTGGTATCAACAAAATTTCTGCAAAATATGTTTCAAGAATCTTTCAAGAGTATAATCCGTGTATCAGAACTACTTCATAGCGATTTTTAAAAACATTACACCCCATAATGCAGTTTAAGTTTAAGTGGTAAGATTTCTAATTTAAAATGTATATTTAAATATGCGATAACTATACCATAACTATACTACAATTATACAATAACTATACTGAAGCTGTGCATTAACTATACTACAGTTATACTGTGACTGTACCATCGCTATACCATAAGTGTATTATGGCCATACTATACCATAAGTGTATTATGGCCATACTATAAGTATGGTTACCCTATGACTATACCCATTTTTTTTCTTTCTTTGTTTTTAACTTATGGTTATACCATAACTATGCTATGGGTATACCATAATTTTTCTACGATAACTGTACCCATATATCTATATTATAACTACGTTCTGACCACGCTATGACAACACCAAATATACTATACACGAATGATAATAATTCAAATGATCTGATAAATTTGAATAGCTAGATACACAGAATCACGCGCATACCTGAATAATAATATTAGTAATCTTGTGAAGGTATCTGTAAATTTTTAAAAATCGCGAAAATGAAATATTTGACACCGGCCATTTTAGCCCATAGGGTTGATCTATAGTTAAATAGCGTTAAACATTTTTTCCTGTTCATATTATATATTACTATACCATATTACCACATTACGTATTACATATTATTATACCATATTACCATATTACCATATTACCATATGACCATATTACCATATTATCATATTATCGTATTACCATATTACCATATTACCATATTATCATATTACCATATTACCAAATTACTAAATTACCAAATTACCATATTACCATATTACATGTCACCATATTAGCTGCCAAAAATTTCGTGTATCGTGAGAAGATACACGGAATGGAAGAGTTCGGTAGATTATTGGCAAAATTCAGTGAATCCGTCATATCTTTCAGTCTTCCTACGTACATCATACCTTTGAACGATACTAAAAGTGTGACGTGATATCCTACTATCGCCGAAGAGATGACGTAGTCAGTGAGGTATAACCAAATGTAGCAGCTCGTCACGAAGAAACTTCAATTTGGAAATTCGCAAATACCGTTCATTTACGTTACAAATACCGTTCTGCGAAGCGCAAGTTCCAACGGCAGCTTCTGCGAATTCGTTCTGCTGGTCCATCGACCAGCCAAGTATGTACTTGCCTTATATGCTGGTGCACGTGATATTTGTAGCTTACAGGAACAGGGAATACAGCTGGAAATTCAAACAAAGCCTGCGATTTGAACAGCATCGGAACTATATAGACGAACTTTATTTTCCAACGGCATCAAACATTTTCCTGCACTTTATTCGCTCGTATTTACATATTTCATATTTATGCATCTCATATTTGCCTTGCAGATGCAGTTCGAATTTTGCTACGCGATAATGATACAACTTTTATTCCACTGTGCTTTCCAGCAACGTTGTTAATTGCGGATTTGCTTCATTATCGGATTAATTAAAATTTAATGGAAATATAAAATAATAAACACGAATATCGGAAGACAGAAATAATATCATTTCTAGATTTGAGTAAAATAAAGTTTATTTAATGAAACGTTGATTAAATTAAGAACGATGATTTTAATTTTGTGAAACGTAATAGTCATATAATAATTTTAAAAAACGTTGATTAATTCGAGTGTACATAATTACGTTATAAATAGTAATAATAAAATGAAAAATTCCTTCGAGACCTTTAAGAGCATCCTCCAAGGAATAAACAATGCTTATATAAGCATATATAAAGTTGTTAAAAACGAGTAGAAATACGTGAAAATGAGACTGATCGAATACAGGATGTCCCAGCAAAACGGGAGGGGGTAATGCAAACGGGAGGGGGTAAAACTGAACTGAATTAAATTAATAAATTTTGTGAATTAAATTAATAAATTTTCAATTGCAAATATCTTAAAAATTATTGAGTAATGGCACCTGTGACTTTAACATATGTAACGTATGATATTAACAATTGACAATACAGAATTGAGTATCACCATCAACGCAGTACCGCAGCCATTGTATTAACCCTTTGCACACGGCGATCTTTTTGTTACAGAAACATAGTAATTCGAAAATTTTCTGCCATAAAGTCGATGATATTTTCAAAATGGTAAATAATAAGAGCAAATTAACAATAAGACGTAGACTTATTTTACCTCGATATTCCACGTGCCGTTGGGCAATTTTAAATTCGAGATATTAATTAATAACAATCTTTAGAATCTGATTAAATGGTGACTGAGAGTCGCCTCTCGAGTGCAAAGGGTTAACCTATTCTCAATTATCGCTGGAGATATTGACAATTGAAAATGCAGTACTGAGTATAGCAATCTAAACAGTTCTATCGCCATTTTATTAACCTATTCTCTGATCATCTATATTATATCGCAATTCTAGAATTATCAATGGATAGATCAATCATCGCTAGAGACATTGACAATTGAAAATGCAGTACTGAGTATAGCAATCCAAACAGTACTACATCCATTGGATTAATCTATTCGCTGATCATCTAAATTCTACAGCAATTTTAGAATGAATAAAATGTTTCCTGCAGGAACATTTCGACCATCGTATCCTAATAATGCCTAAAAATATCCTACAAATAAATAAATAAATAAATTTCTAGGTAAAGTGATAGAGGAATTTCTTGTTTCTTAGAAGATGCTCTTAAAAGCTTTGAGGTTAGGAATTTTTCATTTCAAAATGGCCCGTTTTTAACATCCTTCTTTGGATAATGGATCCTCCATTTCCTTTCTTTCTTTCTTTCTCTTCTTGTCTTTTGTTACTTTAACCCTCTATGGACCGAATTTATATTTTTCCTGATTACAAGAATTGTATGTAACATAAAATCAACAAATATCAACCAATAAATTCAGCAGTTTTGACAATTTTATTATAACGAATTCATATTAAGAGTTTGAATTAACAACGGTTGTACTATTGTGCCAAGATAATGTGCAATAGATAGACAAGATAATTTTCCACGCCATCTTGTGGAGAAAAGGTCATAGGGGGGCATAGAGGACCTAACCTATCATGATCGAACAACCGGTAAATGAAAAAGAATTAGAATTTTTGAAAATGGAACCACGGGAGGTATTGTAAAAATAATTATAAATATATGGAAAGAAAAATCGCGAACTGGAGTGATCAAGACGATAACGTTGAATGCAGTATTTTAATAAAATACCCATACATTAGCATGTAACTTGAAAGTTACACGGGCCCATAGAGGGTTAATTCGCAATGTGTTTTATCTTCCAGCAGTGATTCGTTACTGATCTTTGTTGCAGTGAATTTCACAATGTGTTCAAAGAAGATTACGTAGTTACCGAAGATTACACTTGCAAACACGTTGTTTGAACATGTAAACCGAAGAGTTGCATACTCACCTACCGTATTTACAAGGATTTCCAACAATTGCGACAAATCGATCGTGATGGTAGCCGTAGTGGTCGTATCCGGATGCATTGGCAAAGTGGAAAGAGGGAGAGAAATTTTCGGCAATGGAGACATTCTCAGACGTGCAAACACCGCCCTGAAATTCGCGATAAACGAGAACTTCGCCCACGGAACAACATTTTCCAACCGCGGATAAATTCCTGTACTCGTCGGGTATTGTTGTCCAGTTTTTCTGTAAATTAGATCACAAAATTACTATATAAGAAATTACTGTGTCAGAAAATTAATATACAATTTTCTTTTCTTTTTTTTGTTGGGAAAATGAAACTTCTATGAGGTTTATTCTGACATACTGGGTATTACTGAAAAATTGGTTTCCTTTAACCATCTATCTTCTATATTGATCATTTCACGACCATTGATATTTTACAATTTTTATAATAGTAATACTATAATATATAATATAATAGTATAATAGCAATACTTTTATGATACTACTTTGTAATTTTTATGATCCTTTTACAATTATATTTATCAATTCTTATTGATGTATTATTAATGTTATAATGTGTGTTAATTATTATTGATAAATATAATTAAAGTATTATAAAATTATATTTACTGTTACGTAGATTATATTGTTAAATAATATACTACTACTGTATACTAGTAATTGTATTATAGTATATTACTATTATATATACTATATATATATAGAAACTATAGTGCTTATTTACGTATTTATTAATAATTATTATTTACTATATATGTAATATATATATTGTAAAGACTGTGTACTTTAAGTATAGTATATATA